TTTCTGTTTTGTTTTTATTGCATTGAGTGGGCGACCTCTCTCTCTCTCTCTCCCTGTGTGTGTGTTTTGCTTTGCGGGAGCAATGAGAGTGTGTGCGCTGGTCGTCCCACGCTTCGGCTTTTTGTTTTGTTTTTCATTGTTTTGTGGTTGAGAGCACCCATTCCGCGGGCTGCGTGTGTGTGTGTGTGTGTGTGTGTGTGATGATATGAGTAATTTGCGTGTGTGCTATCTGCCTCTCTCTGCCGTTGCTTTCATTTGACTCTCTTGTGGCGCACAGCTGCTCTGCAATTATAGGCGCTGCCAAACACAAAAGCACAAACAAATGCACACACACGCCATGTCGCACACAAGTGGGCTGTCCCTGCACTGCTAGAGGAGCTCTCGGCGCGCTTTGGAATGTCGCAGCGGGCACCATTGGACTCGGTGCATTGGCGCCTGTGGCTGCCTATGGCGACGCCCCGATCCGCTCTGTTGGAAAAGCCGGCGTGGTTGTGGGGCGGCGGGAGAGCAACGGCGGACACGGTGACCTCTACGCAGTGAGTTCACAGTAACTTCCTTGGCCAGTGGCAGTGCGGATGGAACTGTCATAATGATCGCACCGCCGGCATTCTTGTTGTCAAGTTCCCCGAAATGAGAGCGGTGAAAGAAGGTCCGTCCGCATGACGCTTTGCATCTCCGCCTCAGGGCTGCGCATGGCAATTTGGGTTGCCGTGCGGTGATGCCACAGGGTATGATCTGCTGGGAGAGCGCGCTGTGCGATGCTCCTGCACCTGTGACTGGTGCTGTGCCGTTGGCGGATGTTGAGTGGCCGTTCACACAAATATTGCGACACCACGAGGAGAGCAGACCAAACACCCCGCGTGCAGGGAGCGTTGCGGCTGGTGAGGACTCTGTGCGACGGTGATGAATGCTCAGTCGACGACGGATTGACGGATTGTCCCTTTGATTTAGTCGGTGCGCATGCGGTGTGTATGGCCGCCACTGTGGTTTCCCGTTACTCCGCTGCTTGTGCCGCTTTCTGACGCACCACTGGCACTAAATCGTTTTATTTCTTTTCTTTCTTTTTTTCCTTTGCCTCCCGCATCCACGCTGCACTGCTACTGCTGCTGCTCACACGAAACCAAGAAATGCATTTTTTTCAGGCCATGCGCCAGCCTCGCCATGCCACGCCGCCACTTCCATTGCTGGTGTTGCTGCTGACGTGCTGCGCCAGTGGGTGCGTTGCCGCTGTACTCGCCACACAATACCGCTGTGGGTTTGAAGTGATGATGAGGAGGAACGGCCCGCTGTTAACTGCGGTGGTGCGTGAGGTGCCGTGCAAGGGACACGGCGCGATGCAGGCGTACACCGTCGCCACACAGGATGACGACAGTGGCTGGGAGCCGATCCGCATGGCGGTTTACACGGAGGATCTGGAGAGGCACGAACAAGAGGAAGTACTGCGAAGAGGGAGAGGATGAGTGCTACAATGCGTTGGGGCAAAGGGTGTCATGCAAAGCAGAGCATTTCCTGACGGAAGAAAAGACACAATTGTACACTGGAAATATTCTCCCTGGTGCCGTCAAACTCCACACTGAGCGGCTAATTGTGAAATCCACAGGCGGGACGATAACTGTACCGAGGGCTATGAATGGACCGTGCAGCCACTTTACGGTTCCTACCAGGCACAAGAGTGACGGTGTGCCGAATGCAGATTTTATCATCTGCGCTGCTGCTAGGCCATCAGGCACGGATAGCAGGGCTGTGTGGGCGGCCGCGTGTAGCACACTGACAGATTTTTGAGCTTTCATTGGCGCCATGAACTTTTATTCAAAGTACATGACTGACACGGCGTGGAGCGTTCGCGTTGCCGCACACGAAATTGCGCATGCTCTTGGGTTCAACCAGGAGAGCATGAGAGAAAAGAGTCTGGTGAAGAAGCGAGAGAGAGGTGTGCGTGGGAAGCACCGCAGGATGGTGGCAGGGAAGCACGTTCAGGAGAGGACGAAAGCGCACTTTGGTTGTGAGTCTCTCGAGGGCATGGAGCTGGAGGACGAAGGTAGCACTCGGGAAAAAGAGATCCCTCACTGGAAGGGACGCCACGCGCGGGACGAGCTGATGGCTCCCACAGTTGGTGCCGGCTACTACACGGCACTGACGATGGCGGTGTTCGCGGATATGGGATACTACCGCGTGAATTGGAGCATGGCGGAGCCGATGAGCTGGGGCAGAAGCTCTGGCTGCGACTTCCTGGTCAACAAGTGCAATACAACCGATAGTCTTGCCGCCAAGTATCCTCACATGTTCTGCGATGCTAAAGACACAGAGACGCTTCGCTGCACCTCCGACCGCCGTCACGTCGGGACGTGCACCGCAAACATTGTTGAAGACAAGGGGATTCCTGCGGATAAGGACGTTTGCCCTGTTGTATCTTCGGAATTTCACGAAATATCGTCTGGGACAACGTACAGGACGTGCTCGGACGAAAATGTGGATTATCTCCGTGGGTCGCTGACTGGCGGTGGCTCGTGGTGCCTGGACGCGGAATTACTGGAGAGGAAGGACGATGATGGCCATAAAAGCGTTAAGGGAGTGTGCGCGCAGGTGTTGTGTGATGGGGGCACAGTGAAGGTGAAGTACCTCGGCAGCAGTGGGTTTCAGCCTTGCCCTGAGGACACTGACATCCCAGTGACGTTGAAATATTTTCAGAAAGATGGGAAAATCAATTGCCCCACGTACGGCGAGGTGTGCACCATTGCCGCGAAAGGCAGCAGTCTTGTCATTCCGAGTGCGTTGGTGGGTGGACATGGTGACGAGCAAGAGGAGGAAGCAGAAGAGTCGGCGGTTGCTTCAGGGTCGCCTTCTCCGGAGGATACTCGTCCACAGTTGTCTCCTGTGGCGTCTGGTGCCTCCATTGAAAAGGAGCCTCCCGGCGCTTCGGCTGCGGGTGTCGCTGGTGGTGGCCTTCATGCCGGTCCGAGGGGTGATCCGGGGGTGCGGACCGAAAGTGAGGACAACACTCAGCGGCGAGGGAGGAGACCTGGCAGTGGAAGCGAGGGAGCCAACAGAGCCTCCGGCCCCGACGCTTTTTTTTTTTTTGCGCCATCACCCGGCGAGGACGTTGCAGGAGCGGAGGGCGACCCGCGGGCGGATTGCCCAGCGGTGGTTCCCAGTGCTTCCGCGCCTGCCACTCCGATTCCGTCCGTCAACGGCGTCGATTTTCAGGCGATACCCGATGCGTTGGTACAGCAGGCCGACAGTGATGGCGGTGTGGCAGATGCTACTGCTGGCCTCATTCCCTTTGTGTTTCTTGTTGTGGTCGCTGCGGCGGTAGTGGTGGTAGTGGTGGTGCCTCTTTGAGCGGCCGCGGCGGCTGGGCGCAATCAAACTGCGGCTGGGCGACAGTATTTACTTGGCACATTGGCCCCGCACTCAAGATGTGCAAAACCGTAGCAATAGCACTATAATACACTCACTGCATTCCCCGTTTCCTTTGCTTGCGGGTGATGGGCAAAATGACCGGTCTTTTATTGCATTGTTTGTTATTCTGGGAAAAGGTGTTTTTGTTTTATTGCTTAGAGGGTCTAACTTCCGTGAAAACTGTGTGTGAGCGAAGTAACATGGAGAGAAAAGACATTTCCCAGCACCACATGTATACACGCGTTTTTTGATGCGATTGGGACGAGGGGAAATCACCGTACTCTAATCACGAGTAAAAAGTAAAGGAAATGTTCTCCAATGGAGGCGGGGTCGTGCCAGTAGCTGTTTCTCTGAAGGACAGGGACGACTGTCTCTGCATCCGTAACTGGTGCATGCGGCTTTATCTTTTACACTTTTGCTTGTTTTTGTGACTTTGCTGTTTTTTTTTTGTTTTTTTTTTTTTTTGTGTGTGTGCGTCATTGCGAGAATGTGGAGCTTAAATAATTTCTGTGCTTCGGCTTTCAATCTGTATGCGCTCTTTTTATTTTTTTGCCTTCCCGAGTTTTTGCATCCGTTTTTGATTGGCTGTGTGTGTTTCGGGTGCTCTGCTGCACTGTGGGTAGTGTGTCTTAATTCCTTCTGTCCCTGCTGTCCTGATTGTGAAAACACGCTGTGGGTCAGGGTGCATGGCTCCGTGGTTGCGGCACTATTTGTTGTGGTTGCGTTGGGACAGCCCCGACAAGACTGCCAACGTGTGGCTCTTGGGTGTCTCGTTGGGCTCTTTTCCTTCTCCTGCGCGATGGACTCCCGTCGTCGGCGCACCCTTTCGTGCAGTGGCGTCAGCGCAACAAGGTGGCAGTTTTGTTGTTGTTGCAGCTTCAGCTGTTTGGTTTTTTCCTCTGGTATTGTGAGGTGCAGGTGTCGGATGTGGCGGCAATGAGCCGAAGATAAGGAAGGAGGAGGATGGTGCGTGCGTGCGGGAGGGCCCCGCGGTGTTGGATCGGTGCGCACTGTTTGCGGGCTTGATGCGCCCCTTTGGTGCATGGCGTGTCTTGGTGTGTCCTTCTTGCCGTGTGTGGTGCCAGCCGGCTCTTCACGATTGTGGCAATGGCGTGTTGACAGCGGTGTTTGCGTCGGCGTTGGCTGTTCCACCCTCTGGGGCTACGAGGGCGTATGCGTCACGATGAGCGACACCAATCGCGCACGACGCCTGGTCTGCAAGCAAGTGACGCACCGATTGCCGACGCGGCGCGGCCCTCTTGCCTTTTTCCTCCCTCTGGTAGCCTACAGTCTGATGTCTAGCCGTAGTGGTCTCCTCTTTTCTCACTCCTTTTGTGTGTGACCGCATGCACTGACCACAACAATTGTACAATATAAGTATTACAGAGTGCAGGGCTGTGCGTGTGTGTGTGCCTGCTGCCGTGGATTGGAGTGTGTGTCGTGCGTGGTGTGTGGCGTACGGTGCATGCCTGGCTGCTGCCCTCTCCTCATGTGGTGTGCCCTCTGTGTGTGTCTGCCGCACCTTTCTTCTCCCCTGTTGCTCTCCATGTCCCTCACTGTGCAGATCAGCTCCACACCACTGAACGACCACACTCACGATTATGATGACGTGCCGTCTGCTGTGCGTCCTGTTGGTGCTTGCCCTTTGCTGCTGCCTGTCCATGTGCGTGGTAGACACTGCCCCGACTGAACCTCAAATTGAGGGAAAAGGCGCCAGCCTGCCATCCACTACGCCAGAGACTAGTTCTGAGACTCAAGATGCTGACGAAGCAAGTCAATTGCGCTCTCCAGAAGAAGACACTAGTCTGGATCCGGAGAATCAAGTTGATGCGAGGGGAAAGGACACCAATCCGCCGTCCGCTGCAGCAGAGGGAGCACTTCGGAGTAACGGTGAGTCAGGTTCACTGAACCAGGAGTCCGGTGCGGCACAGGGTAACACCGCCCGTTCATTGCCCCCTGGACCAGCCACTGAGCCTAGCAAGAAAACTGAGACGGATCCGGGGGATAAAGATAATTCTAAAAAGATCGTGACGCCTGAGGATACCTCCGAGACGACGACGACCACTACAACAAAAGCACCAACCACGATCACAACCACTGCGCCAGAGGCACCAAGTGGTAAGGCCACAACTACAGAGGCGCCTACTACGACGACGACCACCAGCGCACCGTCACGTCTTCGTGAAATCGATGGCAGCCTCGGCAGCTCTGCGTGGGTGTGTGCCCCGCTGCTGCTCGCCGTATCCGCGCTGGCGTACACCACTGTGGGCTGAAGAATTGTGTGTATTCTGTGCGTGCCAGCACTCAACCACGGGGACATGTGTACGTCCACTGTGGTCCGATGTATAAAGTAAGAGTAATTGTTGATGATTGTTTTTTGCTTTACTTGCTTCCGCTGCCCTGCTGTGTGCTCCGCATTGTGCCCCACATCCGCCACGTTGAACGCATTCCGGACACAATCATATGCATGCGCAGCGGAGCCTTGGGTTTGTTTTTTTGTTTTTTATAACTTCTGATTTGCGGGACGGTGTGTTTTTGCAATTGCACTGATTCCATCTTCTCTATAATGTGTGCAAGCTACTGGCGTTTGTTGCTGTGCGGTGGCTGGGTGTGGTGTAGCGGTGGTTTTTCTTTTGTTGCTTCGGCTCTGCGTTGACGTGTTGTTAGTTTGTGCTGAAGGCTACACGCAAGTGTCAGGAGTGATGATGACTGGCCGTGTGCTGCTGGCGTGTGCCCTCTGCGTGCTGTGGTGCGGTGCGGCTTTTGGACACGCGATGGAAGATTACTGCAGTGAGGGTGGAGGGAACGGTTTGAGGCACACGAGTAATGGTGGAGATGACGGCGTGTCTCTAAAGGCGGATTGCGGGTTGATTTCCACCCGAATGGGATTAATAAATGCGGTTGAAGCTGGGGACGACGGTATAGATGAAAATGGTAATGCCGTATTGGAAAATAAGGACAAATCACAGCATGGTAGTGTCTTGGCTGGTACTGGGGGCAATGAAACGCCTGGTCAAAAGGGAGTGAAAGGTGCCGCAGGTGCAGGATTACCACCCTCGCCGTCTGGGCCTGGAGGATCAGATACAGAAGAACAGAGGCAGCCAGAACAGTTGGATACAAAAGGAAAAGAGGCAGGAGGTAAGAGGGATGAAAAGGGCGGCAAGGCAACTGAGTCCCAACAACAAAGAGCTGATCAATCTTCTTCATCTGGCAGCGACGGCCCTCAGGGTGGCAAAGAACCCGCTTTGAAAGAAAAATCCGAGAGTACTGAATCCTCCGTTGACACGCCGACACAAGAAGATGAAGTTGAAGCGGAAGAAACAAATGTGTCAGAAGAAGAAACCGGAGGAGACGAAGAAAACAACAATAATGTGGCACTCACAGTGACAAGTGAAAGTCAAGCGAAACTGAAAGGAACACAAACAGCAACACCACCAACACTACCAACAACGCAAGTGAATGAACGCTCCCGCACTGAGGATTTAGGACACGTGCAACAGCCAAAAGGCGTCCAAAGCGACATTGAGTCAAACAGCAATTCACAAACTGAGGGCGCTGCCCCCATCACAGCCAATCAACACAATGAGCCATCTGCCGACCATGCAGGATCCAGGCCACTATCACCCACGGCAAACGGTGATGCCGCCAATAATGATTCTGACAAAAGCACTGAAGAGGGCATCCCGAACAATGATCCAGCAGCTGATGGTGCAGGGACAGCAGAAGAAAAACAAAATGAAAATAAAGAATCCAATCCGAAAGAAACATCAGTCGAAGCCACAGCCATGAAAAATACAACGGTGACGACTGGCGACAGTGACGGCAGCACCGCCGTCTCCCACACCACCTCCCCTCTTTTGCCTCTTGTTTTTGTTGCGTGTGCGGCTGCGGTGGTGGCCGCGTGAGAGTGAGTGAGAGAGAGCCATGCACCGCCCGCACACACACTCGTCCTTCACTCACTCTCTGTGTGTGTCCCCTTGCATGGACTCTCGCCCTCACCTCACCCCACGAAGCACACACATAATGTGCCCATTGTATATATTGCATGCACACCCATGCAGGCCCGTTGGTGCTCTCTTTTGCACGACACGCACCGCTGCCGTCCTGCCTGACTGCATGGGCGGAGCACCGTAACTGTTTCTGTTTTGTTTTTATTGCATTGAGTGGGCGACCTCTCTCTCTCTCTCCCTGTGTGTGTGTTTTGCTTTACGGGAGCAATGAGAGTGTGTGCGCTGGTCGTCCCACGCTTCGGCTTTTTGTTTTGTTTTTCATTGTGTTGTGGTTGAGAGCACCCATTCCGCGGGCTGCGTGTGTGTGTTTGTGTGTGATGATATGAGTAATTTGCGTGTGTGCCATCTGCCTCTCTCTGCCGTTGCTTTCTTTGGACTCTCTTGTGGCGCACAGCTGCTCTGCAATTATAGGCGCTGCCAAACGCACAAGCACATGCACACACACACATGCCATGTCGCTCACGCTGCGTAGAGGTCTGAACGCTGAGAATGCACATAAAAGGTTCTTGCTGCGGCGGCCCTGCTAGGAGGGAGGTTGTCAGCCCGAGAATTCTTTCGTCGACGTGTGGAGGGTGTGATGTTTGCGGCGTGCAGCCGGTGGGTGGTGTTGAGGGTGCCGTGGGCGAGTGCGGATTGTTTCTCGCCATGGAGCTGCGCGTTCCGACGTGTTTATCCCGCTGTGGATTTGCCGATATTCTTTGGCTGTGCGGGGTGATGTGCGTTGGAGGGCGCGCTGGAAGGGACAAGCAGTAAAACGACTGGTGGCAGCGCGTTGGTGGTGCGAAGGGCGGCTGCACCCTTTTGCGTCCCGTTGTTTTGTCGGTGTTGCTTGGTGTGTGCTCACGCGTGATGAATAATGCATCCTCCGTGACTCCTGCTTGTAGTGGCAACAGCCGCTGTGTGTTCCCGGTGTATTTCTACTGCTTCTGCTGTTCTTTGTGTCTGTGTGCGTGAGTTGTTGTTGTTGGGAGTGACTGCGGCGGGGATGATGGTGCCACTCACTGTGGATGGGTGGCGGTGTTTACTGTTTCACCCCTTTCTTGGCATCTTTTCTCTCCACCCTCTCAATCACACACGAAGAAGGAAACCAAGCGAATCGCTACTGTGAAATTGTAAGGCTCTAGAAGGACCAACAGCACACACACACACCGCCCACACACATATTTATATGCTCTCACGTGTTGCTGCAGCTGTCATGGCACTCCGCACACACAACCGTCGCCGCGTGACCGGATCCAGCGGAAGGAGGAGGGAAGGAAGAGAGAGTGAGCAGCAGAGGCCCAACATGTCCCGGCATCCCTTCTATTCTGCGGTGCTGCTCCTCGCCGTTGTGATGATGTGCTGCTGCAGTGGAGCTGCATCCAGTCAGGACACGTCGCCAGCTTCAGGATCTTCAAAGGGGAAATTGTTTGATTGGAGAGATAAGAACGGAGAAACAGTGAGTTCGCTCCGTGTTCCCAGTCTTGTTGAGATGAATGGTGATGTGTTTGCCGTTGCTGAGGCGCAGTGCACGGGCACCGGAGAATGCGTTTTTACTGGGATTGCCTCGGAGCTCCTGACATTGAGTGATGAAGAATCAAAAGAATTGGATACAAATAAACTGAAGACGCAAGTACTGGTGAACCGTTCTTCCGGAGGAGAACAATGCCCCTCCCAAACAGCAGTTCTGGCTGGCACTCAAAGAGTGAAGAAGGTACATGTGAGCCGACCAACAACAGTCGTGCAGGGAAGTGATATTTACATGCTTGCTGGAAACTACAGCTGGACATATGAGGATAAGGCAGATTCTGTGTTTCAATGTGGACTCTTGCTGGTAAAAGGTAACATTAACAATGAGGAAGGCAGTACCAACAAAAGGATCCTTTGGAAAGATACTTACGATCTCCCATGGATTTCTAACGGCAGACAGGAACAATCCTGGACACGACTGATTGGCGGTGGTGGATCGGGTATTAAGATAAAAGGTGATACTCTCTTGTTTCCATTGGAAGGCACAAAAAAAGAGGATGGGAAAGCCGTTTCACTGATTATGTACTCCTCGGACACTGCGGGTTGGGTGGTATCGAGGGAGATGTCTGCCGACGGCTGCGGTGATCCCTCCGTCGTGGAGTGGAAGGACAAACTCATGATGATGACTGCGTGTGATGATGGCCGCCGCAGGGTGTACGAGTTTAATCTAACGGAGTCGTGGACGGAGGCGCTCGGGACACTCTCGCGCGTGTGGGGCAACAAACACAAGGGAAATAAGAAGGGCGTTGGGAACGGGTTTATCACAGCGACGATTGAGAACAGGGACGTGATGCTCGTCACTCTGCCGGTATATTCCGAGAAGGCTGATAAAAAAGAAAACGGAAAGAATGAACTCCATCTTTGGCTGACGGACAATACGCACATTGTTGATATTGGGCCGGTGTCCGAGGAAGATGAGGACGCTGCCGCCAGCTCCCTGCTGTACAAAAGTGGGAATAATAAGAAGGAGGAGTTGATTGCACTGTACGAGAAGAAGAAGGGCGAGAAACCATCACCCGGTATGGTTTCTGTGCGTCTGACTGCGCAGCTGAAGCGGGTGAAGGAGGTGGTGGCGACCTGGAAGGAAGTGGACGAACGTGTCTCTCAGCTGTGCACCACTTTACTTGCTCAGAAGGGTTTCTCATCTGACAATGCCTGCGGCGCTGATAAGATCACGGATGGGCTGGTTGGCTTTTTGTCCGGCAACTTCTCTGATGGCACATGGAGGGACGAGTACCTCGGGGTGAACGCCACAGTAAAGAGCGGTGCAGCAGGGGCAACAAAGACTTCCGATGGTGTGACGTTCCATGGAGCGTGGGCGGAGTGGCCCGTTGGCAGTCAGGGGGAGAATCAGCTGTACCACTTTGCGAACTACAACTTCACTCTTGTGGCGACGGTGTCTATCGACAGGGTGCCGAAGGAAGATACTCCCATCCCTTTGATGGGCGTGAAGAAGATGAATGGTGCCGGTAAGAATAAAGTATTCCTGGGACTGTCGTACAGCAACAAAAATAAGTGGCAATTGCGGTGCGGTGACGAAAAGACGACGGAGCTCAGGAGCAGTTGGAAGCCAGAGACAACACACCAAGTGGCTATTGTGCTACAGAACGGCACCCAGGGCACCGCGTACGTTGATGGTCAGCATGTGGGTGTGGGTGCGTCGTGTGCATTGGGAAGCACGGAATCCCAAAAGATCTCCCACTTCTACATTGGAGGGGACGAACGCAGTGCAGGCGGCGCAGGGAGCAAAGAAGAAGTGTCAGTGACTGTGACGAACGTCCTGCTGTACAACCGCCCGTTGAGTACTGCGGAGATGACTGCGCTTAAAATGAAAAGCGTTAATATTCCAAAGCTGTATCATGCAAAAACAGAGCCGAGGGGTACTCCGTCTACTCCCGCCGGGCAACAGCCGTCGGAATGGGGGCATTTGGTGGGAAGCAGTAAAGATGCGAGTGGTGGTGTGGAGGGGGCCGATTCACAGATCAGGGAAGTAAATGCCACGGCACTCAGCAGCAACCTCGGAAATGTGTCGCAAGAAAATAACAGCGATGCCGGCGCCATGCGTGGGAGCGGACTGCTGCCATCGCTGCTTCTTCTTTTGGGACTGTGGGGGTCTGCGGCTCTGTGAGGAGTGACTGGGTGCCGCGTGGGACACCTGCGGCATCCCCTGCACACAATTACTTCCAAGAACTAAATTATCCTTAAAATAATTCTCTTTTTTTGCTTTTTTTTTGTAATTCATCAATTTTTTTTTTTTTTTTTTTTTGCGTGTGTGCGCGTGTGTGTCCTTTTTTAAAATTTTTTTTTGGTTTTCTGTTTTTTTTTTTTTTTAATCTCTCACTCCCCCTTTCTTTTTTGCTTTTGGGGCAATCACTATGGACGTTCTTTTCTTTTCTACTCTTCCCTCTTTTAATTGTTTCTTGCTGCACTCTTCCAGTGAGGGGTGCCGTGTGTTTCCCGCCCAACTGCTCCACTCGCACACCCACCGACACGCTCATGACGACGGCCCTGTGCGCCTCGCCTGCTGCACGCATGAGGAGGGGCCGCGACGAACGGCGCGCTGAGGGAGCCGTGACGTGTGGGCGTGCGACGAGGGCCTGTGGGGCGGAGCACACATTTCTTTTCCTCTTGTTTTGTTTTCTTGCGGCCAGGGCGGGCAGACACCTGCAGCGCCACACACACACAGCCACACCCTGCCGCCGTGTTTTTATTTAAGGATTTGTTTTGCTTTGTGTGTTTATTTCATGCGGTGGCGCACCCTTCGGTGTCGGCCTCGTGAGCATTTCTCTCCCTCCGATGATTTCTTTTTTCTTTTGCTGCGCTCACTCTCCCGATGGAGCGACGTGACTCTCGTCATGTCTGCGTGCTTCTCCCACTCCCCACACACACACGAGTGACTGTGCTCTGCGGGCCGCACTCGCACGCCGATGGGAGGGCTGAGGGGAGCAGCAACACGCAGATGACCCCTTGAAATATAAACGATGTGCGGACACATGGAGGGTCAGACGGTTGAAAGACATTTAAATATCTTTTTAATTTATTTTCGGACAAAATATGCAGACGATTTCTGGAGCAACATTGTAGTCGTTTGCTTTTTTTGTGTGTGTTTTTTTCTTTTTCTTTTTTTTCTTTTTTATTATTTGGGTGTAGCCGTAATAGAGGACGACTTTTTTTTTCTTTTTTCTTTTTTTATTTTTTTCATTTTTTTTTCTTTTCAAAGTGTGGGGTGTGGAAAGGTGAAGATGAATTTTTATTTATTTATTTTTATTAAATTTTTAATGAATTGCCGCTGCTTTGTCTGCAGTGCAATATTGTGAGCCTGAGCAGTCTTTTTATTTCTGCCATGCACCTCTGCTGCACTGTTTTTGTTTGTGCGTCCCTTCACATGCTCTGCTCCTGTTTTTACTTCTTTGCTTCGTGTGTCTGCGGTGGGAATCACGGTGCCATTGGATGGATGTGTGTGGGACGTCTTTTGCATTGAGTTTGTGGCCGGCTGACGCGGCTGCACGATGCCCGCCATGCGTGGAGGTGCTGCCTGCTCTTGGGGTCATTCTTTTCTCCTTTTTGTTTTTGCACTGCCGGGTGCCTGCGTTGCTCGGTGTGTGCTGACGCGTGACGGACGGTGCCACGATGGCCTCCTCTGGCAGTGACAGTCGCTGTGTTCTAGGCACACACATCCACACACACTTCCTTGTCTCTCTGTCGGTGCTGGACGCGTTGAAGGTCGATTACAGCCACACGGACACCCGCAGGGTTGCTGCGCCGTACTTCTTCCAGCACTGCGATGCCGCCGGCTACACGAATTTGTGGTGCCACAAGTACAACGAGGACAACAAGCTGCAGTGCATGACGGCCAACCTGATCCGCGTGTGTTTCCAGCGCATGGAGCACGTGGGCCAGTACGCGTTGGGCGTTGTGCTCATGATTGTGGAGGAGGGGCGGCACGACATTGTGGCGCTGTGGGTGTTGCGCGGCCGGGGCATGCCGGCGATTGTGAGGAGCGTGGAGGACACGGAGCTGCTGGACTGAGGGAGGAGGTGGCGTACGTTGCGGCGCAGCGGGAGCGCATGACGGACTGCCTGTGCTGGAGGGGCGCGTGTTGAAGTGAGCGTGGCGTGCCTGTGAGGGCCTGAGGAGAGAGAATAACAGTAATATTCACTGTGTGGGTGTTTGAGGAACGGTGCACGGCGAGGATTAATTCTTTTTTCTTTTGATTGTTGTTGAACCGCGCCCACCCAATTGTTGTTGTTTTGGTGCGTGACTCTCATTGCTGGATGGGACGGTGCTTGGTTGTGTGAATTGTTTCTCCTTTTTCTTTCACTTTATGTTGACGGGGAGTTAGTTTGTGCTGAAGGCTACACGCAAGTGACAGGAGTGATGGCGATGATGATGACTAGCCGTGTGCTGCTGGCGTGTGCCCTCTGCGTGCTGTGGTGCGGCGTTTCGGTGGCCAATGGTGATACTGGAAATGATCGCGAGCATTCCGGCCAAGGTGATGTTGGGATTTTTAGTCATTCTTCTTCCTCGGTTGTGGGTCATGGGGATAATGGAGTTGTAACTGATGGAAATTTTCAGGGCAGTGGAAGTCACTCTCCGGGCTTTGCTCCTAATGGTGGCAAAACTTCACTTACTGGTGTTGTTGAGGGTGTGGGTTTAAAAAGCTCTAAGGATGCCTTAACTCCTGCAGAAGAAGGCCGTGGAGGAATGCAGGGTCAGCAAGAATTAGTGCCCAAAGTTTCACATCAGCCCGAAGCGGGAACAACAGGGAAAAGCCATCATAATGCGCCTGAACAGTTGCCCAACGCAAGAACCGAATTAGGAAATGGTGGTGGTGCAACTGCGGAGGGTGATGAAGTAAAAACCACCGTGAAGGATGCACAATTGGGTAGATCTTCCACGAACGACAGCCATCCACCAGCAGCAGACCGAGGGTTGAAGGAGCAGGAAGGCACAGTGAGAAAGGCAACATCAACAGTGGCATTAACGCCAGCAGTGGGACGAGAAACACCACCTAAGGCGGACCCAAAAGAGGACTCACCAAAGGAGAAAGCCGCGTCCAGCGCAGGTGTCACGCAAGATTCACCAACTGTCAGTCAACAACAAACACATTCTTCATCATCCTCCCAAAGTGGAATTGATCCGACTTATACTCCAGGGGAAGGACGCGATGCGGAGGAAATTTTCAACAATAACCAACCATCTGGTGGGGTAGTGCTGAAAGAAGGAGCACAACATGAAACTGTTGCTGGCAGTGAGAAGCCAACAATACCAGCAGCTAACACCCGCAACACAATTGGCACAACCATTTATGGCGACAGCAACAGCAGCACCGCGACAATTACAGCTTTACGGTCTGATGCTGGCACGGAAGGCACTCCAACCACCAACCATCTGAACCGACCCTCCACTGAAGGCGCCACACCACCCGAAACGAATTCCGATGGTGAAGCTGTATCAGCCAACAAATATGATACGGTCTCTCAGAGTACAGGATCCACAACAGCGCAAACCACAAACGCGAAACCAGGTGACACGGCGAAGCCTGGCGACAGTGACTGCGGCACCGCGGTCTCCCACACCACCTCCCCTCTTTTGCTTCTTCTTGTTGTTGCGTGTGCGGCTGCTGCTGCAGTGGCGGCCGCGTGAGTGTGAGGGAGAGAGAGCCATGCACCTCCCGCACACACACTCGTCCTTCTCTCACTCTCTGTGTGTGTCCCCTTGCATGGACTCTCGCCCTCACCTCACCCCACGAAGCACACACATAATGTGCCCATTGTATATATTGCATGCACACCCATGCAGGCCCGTTGGTGCTCTCTTTTGCACGACACGCACCGCTGCCGTCCTGCCTGGCTGCATGGGCGGAGCACCGTAACTGTTTTGTTTTGTTTTTATTGCATTGAGTGGGCGACCTCTCTCTCTCTCTCCCTGTGTGTGTGTTTTGCTTTACGGGAGCAATGAGAGTGTGTGCGCTGGTCGTCCCACGCTTCGGCTTTTTGTTTTGTTTTTCATTGTTTTGTGGTTGAGAGCACCCATTCCGCGGGCTGCGTGTGTGTGTGTGTGTGTGTGATGATATGAGTGATTTGCGTGTGTGCTATCCGCTGCTTTGTCGTTGTTTCTTTGGACTCTCTTGTGCCGCACAGCTGCTCTGCAAGTATGGGTGCTAACAAACATACAAGCACATGCACACAAGGCATAACGCAGACGCTGTGGAGTGGTGTGAAGTCTTAGAACGCACGCACGCACGCTGCGGATGGTCACGGAGGGCACTGTGGGGGCTGGTGTGTTGGTGCTTGTGGCTGTATTTGGCAGCGCTCATATCCACCGTGTTGGAACGGCCGGTGTGTTCGTGGGCCGCTGAAGAGAGCAACGGCGGAAATGGTGACTTCAAAGCAGTGCGTTCACAGTAGTCTCCCGGTCAGTGGCAGTGCGGGGAGAAACAGTCATGACGATTGCAATGCCGTCACGCTTGTTTTTGAGCATCCTGAGAAACGGTAAAAATATATTTGCACACACGACGCTTTGCACCCCCGCTTCAGGGCTGCGCATCACGATGAGGCTGCCGTGCGGTGATGCCATATGATATGAGCAGCTGGGAGAGAAAGAGAGAGCGCTGTGCGATGCTCCTGCACCTGGAACTGACGCTGTGCAAGTGGTGGCAGGTTGGTGGACGGTCACACAAACACTGCAACACCACGAGGGAAGCAGACGAAACACTCCGCGTGCAGGGAGCGTTGCGGCCGATAAGGAATGTGTGCGACGGTGATGGACGCTCAGTCGACGACGGGTTGACGGTTTCTTCCATTGATGGAGTTGGTGCGCATGCGGTGTGTATGGCCACCTCTGTGGTCTCCTGTTACTCCGCTGCGCGTGTCGCATCCTGACGCACCACTGGCACTAAATCGTTTTATTTCTTTCTCTTTCTCTTTCTCTTTTTCCTTTGCCTCCCGCCTCCCACAGCCACGCTGCACTGCTACTGCTGCTGCTCACACGAAACCAAGAAATTCATTTACCTCAGGCCATGCGCCAGCCTCGCCATGCCACGCCGCCACTCCCATTGCTGGTGTTACTGTTGATGTACTGCACCATTGGGTGTATTGCCGCTGCACCCGCTCTGCAGCACCGCCGGGGATATGACGAGATGATGGGGAGGAGCGGCCCACCGCCGACTGTGACAGTAGCACCGCGGGCTTCCACAACAACTCTAATCTTTGGCATCTTCGTGTCAATTGTGCAGCCGCGGCTGCGATGGTGGCCGGGCCTGCATGAAATGGTGTGTGCTGGAGGGGAGAGAAGGCTAGTGGAAAATAGATTGTTCTTCTGATGAATATTGGCTGCACTTCCCGTGGAAAACGAATTCACGCGGTGTGCAGAGATTATTCTTTTTATTATTGTTACTTTGCTTATTTTTATTATTGTTACTTTGCTTTTCTCTTGTTGCTTTGTGTGCTGCGCCTCCGTGAGGGGTGCCGACACGACGGACCGCTCTCGCCGTATGTGCATGCGGTGGAGCCTTGTGTGCCGCTCCTGTTTGCTTCTCTCTCTTCCATCTGTGTGTTGGTGCTGCGGCAGGGCTGTGTGTGTGGCGTACGGTGCATGCCTGGCTGCTGCCCTCTCCTCATGTGGTGTGCCCTCTGTGTGTGTCTGCCGCACCTCTCGTCTCCCCTGTTGCTCCCCATGTCCTTCACTGTGCAGATCAGCTCCACACCACTGAACGACCACACCCACGATGATGATGACGTGCCGTCTGCTGAGCGCCCTGTTGGTGCTTGCCCTGTGCTGCTGCCCGTCCGTCTGTGCTGCGGCACCTGAATCGCCTGAAGCTTCTTCCAGTACAACCACGACGACTAAAACTCAGCCTCCAAATGAGGATGCGGGTTTGTCAAGGCCGTTAAATACGAGGCCTGTTGTGGGGGAGGGAACAGTTGGCGGCAATGAACCAGCTCCGACCGGTCCGGGACAAAAATCAGCTGATGTGACCGTTATCTTACTGGAAGAAGGTACGGACGATACGACAGGGACACAAAGTGACACTAGTATATCTGAGGAACAAGCAGATAAGAACTCCGAAGCTTCTGCCGAGACGACCACGACGACGACCACTACGACAAAGTCACCAACCACGATCACAACCACTGCGCCAGAGCCACCAACTACTACGACTACAGGGGCGCCAACCACGAAGACCACCCGCACACCGTCACGTCTTCGCGAAATCGACGACAGCCTCAGCAGCTCTGCGTGGGTGTGTGCCCCGCTGCTGCTTGCCGTATCCGCGCTGGCGTGCACCGCTGTGGGCTGAAGAGGTGTGTGTGGGCTGTGCGTGCCAGCACTCAACCGCGGGAACTTGTGCGCGTCTACTGTTGTCCGATGTATAAATTAAGAGTAATTATAATGATTGTGCTTTGCTTCATTTGCTTCCGCTGCCGTACTGTGTGCTCCGCATTGTTCCCCAAATCCGCCATTTTGAACGCATCGCGGACATACTCGTATGCATGGGCAGCGGAGTCCTTGGATTTTTTAATTATTGTTTTTCTATTGTTTGCCTTTGAACTTTTTTTTTGAGGCGCGGTTTGCGAGTTCTTCCACCGTACTGATTCCATCTATCTTGTGGTGTGTGCGCTGCTCCTGCTGTTGTTGTCACCGTGCAACGACTGTGTGTGGTGTAGCGGCCGTGTTTCTCATTTCTGTTACTCTGCGTTGACGTGTTGTTAGTTTGTGCTGAAGGCTACACGCAAGTGACAGGAGTGATGGCGATGATGATGACTGGCCGTGTGCTGCTGGTGTGTGCCCTCTGCGTGCTGTGGTGCGGTGCCTGTGGGGTTTATGCGAGGGACCGCGACAGCAACGAACTGGTTGGCAGCATGTCGTCGGGAGTGTTGGGTGCGAATTTGCCCCATATGCCGAGTGGTTCTGATAAAAATGCGGTCATGCTTCCTACGCGGTCTGTCTTGCCAATCACTGTCGCTGAGGCTTTGAATGAGAACGATGTTTCTGTTACAACCGAAGAGGATGCGGATTTAAGTTTGAATACAGGTTCTCTCCATGCTGCTGCTAATGGAGGTACAGGTGGGATTGGAAATACGATTGACAGTCATGCTGGTGGCAGCAAAACTTCTGGTGGTGAAATTGGCAGCCCTGGTGCAGGTGCTGTCGGTGTTCAAGGTGAAGGTGCCCAAAGAAGTGGTGGTGGTGGTGATCCTAACGGAAGTGGACATTCTACTTTGGAAACTCTCGGTAGGGAAGCAAGTGGAAAAGGGGGGGATCAAAGCGGGGTGAGGACAGAAGAGAATTCCAGGAACCCTCCAGCAGAACTCTCACCGTCAGTACACTCAAAGCCACCACTAACACCGCCAGAACCAGCGGGAGTACCACAAATACAAAATGCCCCACAAGTATTACCGCAAAAAACACCACAAACAGCGGAAGCATCACCATCACCGGTAGTTTCGGCAGAAGATAGAGGTACACCGGAATCAAGGGACTCACAGATTTCAAGCGAAGAAACTAAAAAACACTCAACTTCAGAAACCAAAACGGAGTCCCAAGTGAAAGAAAAGTTTTCAAATGGTGGTCTGACAGAAGAAGACGGTCAAGAGGCAACTACACCGAACCTTGCGAAGAATGCAGTTACTGAAACCCCAACGAAAACAACGGCATCATCCCTCTCTACAAGCGGCACTGGTGATGTCCAGACAACAACGGACACGGTTGATAACGGTGCTCAACGGCCTAACACCAAAGAACCACAAGACGGGTTCGAAGATGGTAATACCAAAGTTCCTCCTAGAGCTAGTGGGGCGGCACCACAAACAGCAAAAACAGCCACCATAACTCAAAAAAATGACACGGCGACGAGCACACAGAACAGTGACGGCAGCACCGCCGTCTCCCACACCACCTCCCCTCTTTTGCTTCTTCTTGTTGTTGCGTGTGCTTCTGCGGCTGCGGTGGTGGCCGCGTGAGAGTGAGGGAGAGAGAGCCGTGCACCGCCCGCACACACACTCGTCCTTCTCTCTCTGTGTGTTTGTCCTTGCATGGACTCTTGCCCTCATCTCACCCCGCGCAGCACACACATAATGTGCCCATTGTATATATTGCATGCACACCCATGCAGGCCCGTTGGTGCTCTCTTTTGCACCACACGCACCGCTGCCGTCCTGCCTGGCTGCATGGGCGGAGCACCGTAACCGCTTCTGTTTTTTTTTTTTATTGCATTGAGTGGGCGACCTCTCTCTCTCTCCCTGTGTGTGTGTTTTGCTTTACGGGAGCAATGAGAGTGTGTGTGCTGGTCGTCCCACGCTTCGGCTTTTTGTTTTGTTTTTCATTGTTTTGTGGTTGAGAACACCCGTTCCGTGGGCTGCGTGTGTGTGTGATGATATGAGTAATTTGCGTGTGTGCTATCCGCTTCTCTTCTGCCGTTGCTTTCTTCTGACTCTCTTGTGCCGCACAGCTGCTCTGCAATTATAGGCGCTGCCAAACACACAAGCACATGCACACACATGCCGTGTTTAAAACGCTGAGAATGCACGCACGCACAGGATTGTGGCTGCGGAGGCCCTCGCGAGGGGCGAAGAAGCCTGCGTTTTGTTTTTTTGACATGTTGCTCGGTGTGTGTCGACGCGTGACGGACGGTGCCACAATGGCCTACTCTGGCAATGACAGTCGCTGTGTTCTTGGCACACATCCACACACTCTCCTTGTCTCTCTGTGTGAGTGATTGCAGCAGGGCATTGCTGCGGACCTGATGGGGACCACGACGGCGCCACCCCTCGAGAATGTCCCGCGCACTGTCTCTTGTGGAGCGGCGAGGCGGTTTGCCTGCAGCCCGACTGACAACTGCACAGTCGTTTCATTGCGGTCGCTCCGCCGGCATCACCTGCTGCGGTGGTGTCCGCAAGAGCCGCATCTCAGAAGTTTAAGCCGTTCTCCCTTCAGGATTGCCCTTGCTGCTCGACTGGCGCAGCACCGGCCCGACATGGCTCCCCTGCAGGGGTGCAGGCACCGGAGTGCTCAGCGACGAGGCTCGTTGGCTGCAGCGACATCCACCAGGCCTGCAGTGGGCGTGCCGGCGGCGTGGCCTTCTTGGTGCGCCACACCTTGCCGTGCGAGCGCCTGTCGCTGCTGGCACCAACTGCGCGGAGACCACCGCCTTCCGCGTGTGCCCACCGGCCTGCCCCAGCATCTACACGGTGAACCTCTGCAACCTTCCATCGGCAATTGCTCATGCTGCTCACTTTGCGAGCAACATTCGTCGCTTAGGCCCCGCAGCGGTTATTTGCGACCTGAATTTACATCATGAGCTGCGGGACGGTCGCTCACCATCCACGACGGCAGGAGAGGACCTCGCCGCCACCCCAAGCGGCATGGAGTGTGAGCTATCCGACGACCCGGCACAGGCAACGTGGAACAGCGGCTGCAGCGTCTCGTTTCCCGATGTGACTGCGCAACGCGTACGGCGTGTCTCCCACTGGACGTCCACCCGTTTACATGGATTCGGACCACCATCTGCAATCCCACACTGCAGAGACGAAGGACGGCATCCCACGGCTGGCAGGCATGCTGCCACGACGGAAAAATATCGCCGTTGTCCTGCGTGAAGCTGACTGTGATGCTTCCCCCTCGTCCTGTGGAACACCTCTGGCCACTTTGAGCACATGGTTGGAGATGCGCAAATGCACCGTACGAGCGGCAGCCGTGACAGCTCCAGAGGAATTAGTACGGACGGAATGGAACAGGTGGAGTGTGTTGTAGCGGCAGCATGCAACGCGCACACAGCCTCGCCCGGAGGCAGCCTGCCCGAGCTGAAGTGCTCCGCAAACGGGAGTACCGCAATCATGCCCTCCACTGTGGCTTCTCCATGCTGCTAGAGGTCCGTGCGAAACAGCTTGGTGCCCTCTTGAGCCCAAGCCTGTGATGCTCCGAGGCATGGCGGCACCACGTCCCCGCTCCTTGTAATTGGCTGTGCTGCGGTACACTCGGGACCGCGTCTGTGCTCTGCCTCTGCAGCAGGCACACCTGCTCGTCCGTCACACTGTCCGCGTCGCACTTGCTGCGATCCTCACTGTTGCCTGCACACTTTGTGCTTGCGTGCCCTCTGGTGGCTGAGATATAAATTTACTCTTCACGCCGTCTGCACCTGACTCGGCCATCCGCGATTGTTTGCGTGGCGTGGCCCCTGGACCCGTCGGCGTATTGAATGCTTTTCTGCGCCATCTTGCACCGGCTTGCACAGAACGATGATCAATACCTCACTCGCCGACGGCAGCCTACGAAGTTCCTGGGAAACGGGGAAAAACACTTCCATCCGCGAACACGGGAAGGAAAAATGCCGCACGGAGAGAGTTGCCGGCCCATCCCGCTGCTCTCTGCCCCTGCTAGGGGTGAGCGAAGGACTGGTCCACAGCCGCCTGTGAGTGAAGAAATGGCACGAGGGCTGAGCGAGTGCGAGCGTCGCAGTGGCGGCGTCCCGCGCTGCACCCTCGCCGTCACCGCTCTCTCGTAGTCCCGATCGGCATCTCGACTGCGATCGACACCGCGGACGATGGGCGAGTGCTGGCCGTGCTCGACGGGCTACCGCGCCTGGGCCGTCGCGCCCAACGCTGGTAGCGAATCACCTGCGAGCGGCTGCGTTTGGGTGAGTGCTCGCCAAGAATATTCCCGACAGCATCTCACCTCAGCCGTGGCAGCCCAATGCAGCATCGTGGGACCGCAGCTCCTAATACACCGCGTGGATGTTCTGTTGCGCCGCCTGTACAGCATTCACTTTGCGTCGGCGTTCATTCACGCTGACGGCCGCACGCTTGTTGCCTTGTGTGCAGACATCCGTGCCTGTGGTGCGGCAATGCCAACTGCCGTGTCACCTATAACGACATGGGCTGCCGAGCGCAGTCTGAGTATCAGCGCCGACAGGAGCGGGCCGCTCTGTTCTGCATCGCCTCACACCGACAGTCTGACGAGGACACGGCCGACCATCGTCTGGGCGATGGGAACCCACGCGTCAAGTCCCACCCGGTGCGTCTGCTCGGCAACGCGATTGATCGACACCCCAATTTTGATTACGCACGCTTCCACCGCCGCTGCAGGGCAGACGTGCCACGCCGCCATCAGCTGCGGCTGGGTGCAGAGGCTGGGGCGTCCCAGCACACCACGCGATACTTTTTGGTTGGGTGCGTCCACAGTGCGTTGCACCACGGCGGCGAGGCAATCGCACCGTGTCCGGCCCCCATTCACCTCCACGGCCTGGAAGTGCGGCGCCGCGACAGCTGCACGGCATCGCTCGGCCCACGCGCAGCAAAGAAGGATACTTCTGTCCACCTGGCAGCCAATTCAGCACCGCTGCGGAGGATCATTGGTTTCCGCGCACCCACACAATACGAACGCCATGTACGTTTCCATAATCACGGGATTTGCGCTCCCTTATCTACTCGGAACCTATGCCTCCGTCCATGCAGGAAAAGCGGCGACATCGATCCCGCTTCCGAGAGATGCTGTTATTAATGGATTAAAACGCGCATGTAACATTATTGGGATACCCCACAGCCACAATCGCGCTCCTCCTATTCAACATCGAATTTTCCTCTGGGACACTGTGAGTTGCAACAAAGAGGAATTTATTCAGCCACGCTTTGCCAAAGACGCCTCTGACGATGTCAAGCGCACGGCTTTTGATTCTATTTACTCCTCTCTAGGAGATTATGATTTTGAATTATCGACAGATGTTTCTTCATCCCTCGCCGAACTCGCATCTGGATCCGCTGCACTATTGTATTACTCCACCACGACAAATGATCTCCCTGTGGAGGTCCACCGTGCAGCAGCTGGCAGGCTCGCACGCTCATATAGAGCAGAGTGCCTTGCCACTGAAAATGGCATTATACGTCTCATACCTTTTTTCTGGAAACACCCCAATCGCCCACACGAATCCTGGTGGCTACGGACTCCCTCTCGGCAATTGAGGCACTCCGCGTCGTTCCACTGGCCATGCAAGACTACGTCACCGAAGAGATTTGGATTATGCTGCTCTTCTTGATACAGCGAGGTCACTCTGTAAACTTAATGTTCTCTCCATCGCACCGCGGTATCCCACGCACTGAGGCCGCTGACGACGAAGCCATGATTGCACGATCCCTCCCGCAGGAGGGCAGCCCAATCTGGCACGTGGGCTTCCTTACTGCAGTCAGGTGGCCGTACTGGAAGGAAGTCGAGGAGGAAGAAGAAGTCGCACACCGCATGACAGGCGCCTGTCGGTGTGGTAGGGACTCTATTCCTGGCACGACCCGGACATCGTGCCATGAGTGGCGGCTCTGCGCAAAGGCACGGTGCGATTCCTGCCTACTCCTCGACAGTCTTGCGCATGTCCTTCGTATCACACGTAACCCTCTGTGTTGGTGGTGCCGTCCCTCCATCACTGAGGAGACTGGCCGTTGCAACGCCTGTAGTGGTCTAAATTTCTGTTCTCATTATGAATGGTGGGAGTCAGAGACACTCTCTTTCAATATCTGTTTGCGTGTTCATACACTGGACACCAAACAACCGTGAATTATCCGCTGCTTGGAGGAATTTTGCGAGCTGTTGCCCACACGGGTGCTGCACTCGGCTGATCGCTTTCGAGCGGCTGCTGCATCACACGTTGTGGTCCAAATTTTTGTTTCCAATTGTGAATGGTGGGAGTCAGAGACACTCTCTGTCAATATCTGTTTGCGTGTTCATACACTGGACACCAAACAACCCTGAATTATCCGCTGCTTGGAGGAATTTCGCGAGCTCTTGCCCACAAGGGTGCTGCACTCGGCTGATCGCTTTCGAGCGGCTGCTCCATCACACGTTGTGGTCTAAATTTTTGTTTCCAATTGTGAATGGTGGGAGTCAGAGACACTCTCTGTCAATATCTGTTTGCGTGTTCATACACTGGACACCAAACAACCGTGAATTATCCGCTGCTTGGAGGAATTTCGCGAGCTCT